TTAGGTTACCTACCTACCTAACGCTATATTTAAAAATGGCGAAACAATCACACCAACACACACGCTCAACGGTCCTCATTCAAGGTCCTCGGGCGCAACCTAAACTAGAGAGGTGTCCCAGGATACCTCCGACACCCGAGGATACCATACACAACATTCACACTCTAAAGGTACCAGTTCCTGAAATCGACTGACAAAGGCTAGCGACCATTGCGTATATGTAATATACAATATACAAATATTTATTTGTAATGCTTTAGTATACAGGTTCATCTCAGTGTATTATTTTTTTTGTATTTTACAAGATTGGCAAGCTACTTGTTAAATATATACATATTTAATGAAATACGTATTACGATCATTGAATATGCAAAAGAATATTTTTAATGAAACAATCATGAGTTAAGTCATGATAAATAAGAATTTGATATTATCATTATAAAAGTCTGGTATTAATACCACTTTGTTTATGGTTTGGAATAAATTTTTAACCGACGCACTTCCCCATCCTAAACACACACACACACATACACACACACACAAAAATATGTGGAAAGCTCGTCGGTGCACGATTCGCTAGCCAGAGTTAGTCGCCATACATATTATTATTATAAATTTTATAAACTAAGTCATCGTGCCCATTGCCTTCGCTCATCCAAGTAGCACCTGGGCACATAAATGAGTTCAGACAACGAACACGGAAGGATTAAACCTGAAAATCCTGAGCTTGAAAGAGTAATTAGTAGAATATAAGCGGGATAACATCTCTTCGTTAAATATCATTTTATTTTCAATAAAGATGACTCGACTTTTACTATGTAAACATTCAAAATTGAAAACTAAGCATGCATCAAGTTCGAAAAATTTAATTATGAAAAAGAATGAATTTAATCGAAATTAAGTTATTTCTTAAAATATATTATTTATAAGACTATAATAATATAAATTATTTTGAAATTTCAAGATGCGTATTTATCTCCTACTATGTGATTCCTTTGTAAAAGTATATTTTTTAATTAGGAAAGAAGACAAATCAATTTACTTTGACGCAGGAATCGACCTATTGCGAAGAGTCCTTCTTGTATGTATTGGAAAAGTTTAAACGGAATTAATGTATACTTATTACTATACACAGTCAAATTCTATGTGCAACGTGTAGCCTGAACAATCTTGAAAGAATCAAATGTTTACTCCGCTCCTGCTCTTACTGGTAGCTCTTCGGCTAGTAACGCCTGCGAGCAATCGGACCTATTTTTATAACGTGTTCTCCAAACAAGTTACTCTCCGATTGGCTGGGAGTCGTATGGTGGGGGAGAACTTTGTTGAGAAACGTTTAACTGCTTGCACACGGTGTTGTCGGTTAGGTCGGTTAGGGGATATAAGGTCTAGCTGCGCAACCTACATTGGACAGGAGAGTTCTCCCCCACCATGCGACTCTCAGCCAATCGGAGAGTAACTTGCTTGGAGAACACGTTATAAATATAGGTCCGATTGCTCGCAGGCGTGCTCGAGCGGGAGCAGAAACGCCATTTGAAGAGAAATATCTTTACGAGGAATTCAAGAAGTCAGCTATGATGAATCAAAGCACAGAGAAACGGAGAATTGGAACATGGAGAATTGGAACACGGAGGACGTTTTCTTTCAGGGTAGAATTATGGCGAATTATGAATTGATTATTAGACGACAGAAAGAAATACTGCTATGTATAAAGTATAATCATATCGGGAAATTTATATATTTTATTTAACATAAGGTTGAATTGTTTCACTGTTGTGAACCATAATACTTTCTGCTAGTTACATATTTGATATATTACAAAATTACTATCTTATCAGTAATGCGATAATGATGATGATTATGATAGAGTCAATTAACTATTTGATGTTTGATATTATTAGTGAATATTCATTATTAGAGTTGTCACGCGATACAGTCTATTTTTTAATTACCGTTTACTTCCAAGAAATTTGAAATAACAATGTAGAGAATATTTTCGGAAATATTGAAAATTTGTTGCGTAATCAAAATTTGCTCGCGGTCGTTATTCCATTTCGTAATGAGTAAAAAGCTTGAACTAAAATAGTACGCAAATGCAATTCGATGATATTCGTATTGATAGCAAATCTTTGAGTAGAGTCGATGGTTTTCGTTAGTATTTCTTGTATCAAAATAACTTGTATTTGATTACAAAATATGCTTCTTTAAACTAAGAATAAATTGAAATTACATTAACATACTTTCATTAAATAAAGTCATTTGTTTTGCTTAAATTATTATAAAATAGTTCTTTTAATCTTGTAAGATTTTCTCTTGCCATTGGCATATATTCATAATGATTAATTTATTTATGTTTGTACTAAAATATGTTCTTTTCAGCTGTTAATCCAGTGAACAAGTTTATGTTACAGAGTAAATAAAAAGTTTCCCAATATTCCTCTACGATGTTCATCTAGAAGAGGAATGGTAAAAATCAGTACAACAGAATTTCGTGGCCCCAACTAACAAATCCTAGTGGCAACTCTACGTTAACCATACGCTGGCGCGTCCACGACAACTTTCCAACCTCCTAGTGGCAACCCTACGTTAGCCATACGTAGGTGCGTCCACGAAAGCACATCCCTATTAACAAAATTGTCCAAACGACAACTATCCTCGGCAACGCGGCCGAAACAAGCTTCACAGCCCTCGGCTCGTAACATATATAATAAGACATAATGAGATAGTTATTATGCAAATAGTTTAAACTATTTATATAAATAATAAGTCGATAAAAATTAAAGCTCGAAGAAAGAAGAAGCCCTGACAAATTGTCATATGAAAGGGCTGCAACAAATGGTTCTCCATCTTCGGACTCGAAGATGGGGAATCACTCTTGTTACTACTTTGTCACCGTACTCGACTGTAGTTTGTGACGGAACCAGGCGTGGGCGGTCGGGAAAGTCGCTATTCGACACGCTCGGAGGCACAATTCCCACAGACGAAATTTATTTATTCCTAAGGGAATCTGGACGCCAGTGCAAAAACATGCGTCCGTTATCTTCGCCCTTCCGGCTGCTCAAGCGGAGAGCGGGCTCAGCGGAGGTCGGGAAAGACAAAGAGAAATAAGGGAAACTCTGATCCACGAAAATGAAATTGGGCTTTATTTCGCCGAAAACCAAAAGGGGGGGGATTCCGCGGTACACACACACCGCAAAGGAAGAAAGGTTTGGCGACTGCGCGCCGAAGAGGAAACGCGACGCAGAATTCCCAATACAATTCTAGAACCGGCGCGACTTAAATCTACGGGGGCCTTGCAAACAGAGAATCCGCCCTAGAAAGAAAATACAACTCAAAAGTATTACGCCGGGAATTAACGGCTGCGCGTTTCGAAGGGGCCCTTTCCTTCGAAACGCGTGGGATCTCAAACCGCGCAAGGCCACGCGGGAGATACGCGAAACAAACGGAGGGAACTCTAAGGGTTCTCGCCTCCGAAAAGTGCGCCGGAGCACGCTCACGGACACAAACGCTCGATCCGCGCTCTCACACACACCCACGCCACAAAGGAAACCCCAACACATAGGCCCTACCTGGCTCGTCGACCTCGAGGTCCCAATATTCCTCCAAAAGGTCCTTGGCGGAGGAGACGTCCTCAACAGGGTACGGAGTGGAGGCTCACGCTCTTCTCGTCGCCGGCTTGTAGCTCTCCCTACCCAGGAGCTTTAAGGGGCTCTTTACGGTGTGGCACCACCATGGATCTCCAACGTCGATTTCTCCTCCCGTTGCAGCTCCGGGCCTTGGGTGGAGGACACCGCGACCGGCGACTTGCCGCGCTCTTGCGAGGACGCGGCTCGGATCGCGAGCGCGAGGGGACCACAAAAAACGGGGGGGGGGGGGGGGTCCCCACTGAGGCGCAGGCCACACATTCCTCCATTCACGCGACCACCTCTGCGGGGTGTTTGATGGAGGAGGGAGCGAGGACCCTCCGGGGTCAGGGTGCCTTCGTGACGGGTAGAAAAATTCTGCCCAGTCACAAGTTGTAATAGTTGTACTTTATTTAGATGGGTCATGTACAGCTCATTGCTGGTCTCCCCCGCCAGCCTTGGACAGGATCTACTGTCCCTTTTGCTGGCGGAGGGACTGGTGCGGTGGCCAGGAGGAGAGGCCTCCCTGGCGTTAGGAGAGGCCCAACATGGGAGATAGGCCGCAAGACCACGAGGGCGTGCGGTCGGCGGTTGGCGACCCCCCAGGGGCGATGTAATACCGTCGGTTAAATTCCGCCCCGGGGGACTGTGGTGGAGGGGTTTTTAGTCAGTAAAAATCTGACACTAACCCCCAACAACATCTGGGGGGTGTCTTTTCGAAGATTTTCCCCTCCACCAAGGTAATGTAAACAAAAAAAAAACGTTTTTACTCCAACGTGGTAACCCATCATTCAGTGTCGATTGGGTAACTCGCGTTTCGCATTAGTGTTGCGATATGAAAATATGAATCGCGGTCGTTTTCAGGATAGTTGATTTGATTAGTATTTTTCGCGTTTTCTTAAGTAATAAGTAATGTTTAGAGTCAATTTAGCTTTTGATTAAAATTGTTCGCCCTTTCTTTCAGGGTAGTATTGCGTTTAACTACCAACCGCGAGTGCCATTAGTGTTGCGTATAATGAATATTGATCGCGACCGATTGGAAGTAAATTCTCGTGTTTTGAATTAGTATTTCGTCACATAAAGTGCCCAAAATTTGACATTGATACACCAATTTCAGAATCACCAAGCAGCTGCCCAACTGTAATTTCCCGCAGCTCAGAATTGCTGCACTTGGGTTACTTAAGTTAGGATCGCGCGTTAATTAACACAGGTGCACGTAATTTTATTTAGAGTTGCGAATAATAAAAAGCGCCCCGTGTGGCTGTTCTCGTGAGTTTTTCCATTTTATATTTTACAAATCAATGTTGCTAATGCACCTCGCGATCGTTTTTCAATATCATTATCATTATCATTTTTAGTTGGCGAGAGAAGGCTTACCAACTAAAGAAGTATGCGTATTCAAAATTCATTCTGACTAGTCTGATGCGCCTTGATGCGTCTGCGCTGGTCCGCGCTTGCCTATTGCGCTTGCGCGTGCTTATTTCAGCTTATTTCACGTGTGTTTATTATAGAATGGTATGGAATTACTCATTACAGTAATATGCAATAATATTTTTAAGTTTTGTCAGTGAATATTAAGATTGAATGAAATTCAATTATTGCATTGTGTATTTGTAAAACTACTATGACCATATTCGAAGTATATTTCATGATTTTATTCCAGTGAGGTTAAGTAATAAGAGCGAATTTCATAATGAGTTTCATAAAAAACACGGTGCAAACATATTCAAATGATTCAAGACTTTTATATAAAGCATTAAATGGTATATTTCTCCTTTATAAAAGCCCGTCTGTGGCCTTTGGACGAATGAAAGGAACAGTGATCTCTAATTTATGTAGAGGTTATAAAATGATCCATATTTAACACTAAACATTAGATCAATAGGATTTTAATACATGATTTATTCGTTTTAGATCTTAACAATATGAATGTACGACCACCAACTAAATATGTATCGATTGAAGGTGCTACTAATACAGATATGAATGTTATCATTCGTGATAGTTATGCAGATAATATATTAGTAGTAGGACCACGTTATCAAATGAATGACTTTAAATTAGGATCTACAATTTTGTCTTCTACAGACCTTAGTGGTCTTGTAGTCTGTGGTATCAATGCTGGTAATAAACTGGTAAGAAAACTAAGAAATGCCAATATGACGAGATGTTATAAAGTAAAGGGATTATTAGGCCAAGCAACAGATAACTATTTTCATACTGGAAAAATAGTAGAAAAATCTACGTATGCACATGTAAAACGAGGTCACATTGACAATATATGCAGTTCAATGCAATCATCTCACCAAAGAAAAATGTTTGAGTATGTTAGAAATTATTACGTATATGAGATGAATCGGTGTAATCATATTATATGACACATAAATTTTTGTATGTTAACAGATTGTCTGGAGTTGATATACAAAGTCAAGCTGCATATGATTTAGCAGTGCAAGGTCTATTAAGACCAGCTGATTCTAATATTCCCATGGTATATACAATCAAATGCACAGACTTTTCACCTCCCGAATTTACACTAGGTAAATGCACTCTGTTAAATGAAAACTGTAATTAGTAGAAATTTCAACCTTACAACTTTTTTTTATGGATTTACAGAAATTGTTTGTATCAATGAGTACGATATGTACCTAAAAACCATAATTCATGAAGTGGGAGTGCAACTTCATAGTACTGCTACTTGCACTCAAATATACTGCGGTCGGGAAGGATTATTTACCGTAGAGTCTGCGTTATTAAAAAAATACTGGACTTTATCAAATATTTTGAATAATATACAAATGTGTCGTAAGATTATTAATGAGAATCCATATCTGATCGATCAAGATAGTCCTACATTAGTGGACGGTAGTAGTACCGATAGTCCAAAAGTACTTATTGAAGGAGAATCAACGACATAATTATATTTATTGTATATATCTACTATTACATTGTACCAATTACATTACATATTTGTTTAAATTTTATTACAAATTTTAATAGTAATAGATACATTTTTATCATTATCTATGCTTCACTACGACTTCTTTTCGAACGTTGACTGCAATCTGTATCATCGTGTCTATCTGTGGGCTTCATAGATCTTCCCCTTGTCTTATGTTTGTTTGGCCATTGTTGCATTTTCATGCTTTTTGCTATTACACGTTTTTGATGATCCAATTGCGGAAATAAATCTATAATATAAATTAATAAAATATCAATTGCATTTTTGTATTTCAGTTCAAATGATATAATTCATACCTTGAGATTTTTCTAATGCTTCTTTGGCCGAATTCATCTCTGCCTCTTGAATACTATGACCAGAAGCTTTTGCCAATCGTTTCCCTTGAAAATATACAGCAACAGTATACACTCTTGTATTTGTCGGTCCTTTACACTCGATTACCCTAAAAGAAAATGTGAGTCCACATTTACTATACGACAGCAGATTTGAATTCGTTCATCTTTTTCACAACTTACTTATACACAGGAATATCAGGCTCTCCACCATCCATTGTTCTTAATGTCAAACAACATTGTTGTAATTTGCTTTTTGGATCATTCCAATCTTGATTCATAATAAAATCTTGTAAACGCGGAAAGAAACATACGTCACAGAAGACATGACAATACTCCAAACCCTTATCGACATAAAGAGATCCTAAAAATGCTTCCAACAAATCTGCTCTATCCTTTGTTTTCAGTTCAGCCTTCGGATTACCGTAAAGCGCATACTGAGTCATTCCTAAATCATCGCACACGACAGCTTGAGTTTTATTATTTACAAGAGAACTTCGTAAAAGCTGTAAAATACAAGAAATTGTTTATCACCCATAAAAAAAAATTATTACAATAGTACTTACAGATAAATGCCCTTCATGATGTTCTGGGAAATATTTGTATAAATATTCGGAAACTATGAGTTGTAAAACAGTGTCTCCTAAAAATTCTAGTCGTTGGTTAGAACCTAACGTTAAATTCGTAAATCCTATGCTCCGATCAGTAAATGCTCTTGCTAAAAGACGAATATGAGTGAATTCTATACCAATGGATTCTTCAAACTTCGTTAATTTCTGTGCGACAAAAAGAAAGTATTAATATTAGATTTTTGAAGAACAGCCCCAGAGTAATGAAGAAGTAATTTAGTTTCGAACAATACTGTTCATTATATCTGAGTACTTATCATATATGTAAACCTACTTGCAAGAGTTCAAAGCTTGGTATCCATTGCCTATCACCCGTTGGTTCTTGCTCTTGTAAAGGATGTTTAGGATAATTTACCCAAACTTTCGAAAGATTTTCTTCATCTTTAAAGAGTGTTTCTCCAAATACTCTGTCAGCAACTTCGATACCTCCATCCAGAAACAAGGAACCCATTAGTGCTTCAAAACAATTCGCCATTGCGTGTCTCAATTCTAAATCGTGACAAAGATCACTACCATGCGCATACAGCATGTATTCTTCTAAATTCAATTTCTTTGCTAATACAGCAAGATGTTGATTTTGAACAATCGCTGCTCTGTAAGTAGCCAATCCACCTTCTTCCAAATCAGGAAACATGTGAAACAGATGAATCGATGTTAGGAACTCGACCACTGCGTCTCCCAGGAATTCCAGCCTTTCGTTGTGCGCTATCGAAGATTCAGTTTCCGTTCCCGCGCCAAATCTTGACATTATATTAATCAATGTATTGATACCACGTTTGCGTGTATTCATGTAATGAATTCGTCGGTCACCATACTCGGGTTGTCTTATTCCACAATTAGTTAAAGAATTTCGCGCATGATCTGGATTTGTACCAAAGTTTTCACGGTAACTGGGGTGCGTCAACGCCAGTTGAAGGAGATACCTATTCTTAAATTCGTAACCTAATGTACGTTCTAAATTGTCCAAGGATTTATGAAATCTAAGATGACAGACAAGTACAGGAATTAACATGGCATGTTGTACTATATCGCACATTATTCCAGTTCGGTAAAATCCTTCAGAACTAACATCTACGGTGACATCACGTTTCATTTTACTTTGAGTTCTTAATTCCTGTAGTTTATTTTCTTTCGCTTCTAGTTTCCTTTTATCTTCAAAAGATGGTTTTGGCATATTGGCCAATAAATGACGAAATTTTACATAATCCCTCCACGCTTTTTGATAACTGAAACAAACAATAAAAATGTAGGTATTATTTGACATTAAGTCAATTAGAAAGAAGTAGATATTTACTCTGCGTTTCCTGCATAACTAAGCTGCGGCGGTCTAATCCCAAAATGAACAATCTCGGGGTGTGCAATAGTAGAAGACGATTGATCGGTTTGACTTCTATCTAATTGATCAACACGAACGCTACACGGCTTTTTCCCAGGATATGTAACAATCATACCCTTTACTTCATCGGCAAAATTTTGCCACTTATATTGTGGCATTTCCACTAACCTAGGTAGATCATCTGGATCTATTAATAATTTACTACTTTTTATTAAATAATTTAAAACCTCATTCATGGATAAAATTTCTTGTCCATTGTCAGCTAAATCACGTACGAATCTTGGCATAAAATGAAATTGTCCACAACCGGATTTATCTTGCGCTGCTTGTAGATCAAAATCTACAAGTTCCAATATTTCCTTAAATAAATACGTTTCTGAAAAGGAAAGTAATTCATAATAAATATAAAACATCAAAAATAATCTATGAAATGTATCAAAACACAACTTACGAAAAAAATCCAATTCCTGAATGGTAAAATTTTCCGGTAATTTTTCGTCTATATACAGAATCGTATACTCTATATTAAATCTTATCACTTTACAAGTCGGCAGTTTTACAAGAGGAAAATGAGAGAGCATAGAAAACCCTTCAAATATAAATTCGTGTTCGTCGTGCTTGATAATTGTTGGCGTTTTAGTAAGAAAATTTGTTGGTGGACTAATCGTAATTCGATAATGGTATAATTTATCAGCATTATTTGAAGTCAAGTTGCACTTGTTTATTGCACCTTCTCCAGCATAAATTCCATGTCTAATTCCAGATCGTCTTGATTTCGCGCTACATCTACATAATGGTCCATCGTTCATCTACAATACCCATAATTTAAATAGTATTACTTATGATTCAATATAAGCTATCTGAAACATTTAAAAAATACTCGCTTCTCCAGGATCATTAAACCACATTTCAGGATGTAATCTTTGTGGATGTTGTTTCTTTGCCATTAACTCTTCCATTGTTCTATCATCCTCATCCACGGAGCTATCACTATCAGAAGAGCTGCTACAAACTTCCGACTTGTGTCTACACAGACGAGCTCTAGTTTTCCTTGGAGGTGGTTCATAAGGAGGCTACATAATAAGAAATGAAACATATTTTCATATCTACAAAAATTCCTGACTATATTGCATAAAATAAATGTACCTGCAAAGCTCGTGCAGCTGCAGCTCTATCAATTAATAGTTTTTTAAATAATTCACATAATTCTTGCAATTTAGGTGTGCCACGCATTACTTTTGGATTATTATCATCTCTGTTATAATACAAATCTGCTGGGGCAGTACGTGTCCAGACTTTCCTTGCATTTTCCATAATGCCTTCGGGACCCATAGCAGATAATTCATCCATTTTTCTTTCCATATCTTTGCTAGTCTCACAGTAATCCTGCCTGAAAAGAGTTAGAAAATGAAATAAGTTACATTTGTATATTTAATTTGGAAGAAACATATTACCTGTATTTTTCTAGAAGTAATTCTCTTTCAGTTGGGTCCCTTTTACTGGAGGAACTATTACTTAGGCTACTAGTTCTAGATGAGTAAGATTCTTGAGACCTTGACCTTTTCCTGCTTCTGTGACTTATATATGATCTTTGAGAACGCGGCAGATATGAATTATTTCTTCTGTAAGATGATCTTCTATCAACAATTTCTTCATTGTGCGAATGTTCTCTAGAACTTGGACTGTTTCTGTGATATTTAGAAGATCTGTCCTTTGGAAAATCGTAACGAGATCTATGGGGGGATCTACTAGATCTAGATCTACAATCAGGAGTTCTAGAACGTTTTCTACTAACTGTACGACTAGTGGAAGATTCTTTGTCTCTGAATTTCCATTCAGGTCTTCTAATGTTTGAGGATTCACTATATTTATCACAAGTAGATTTTCTGTCATCTTCTCGTATTTTATTTGATCCATACCAAGAACTTCTAGTGTTTTGATATTTATTCCAACTGGTTGAATAACTATTAGAATTCCATTCTGTACTGGTATTATTTTGATACGTACTTTTGTCATCCCAATTTGAATTAAAATTTCCAGTTACAGGTTGAGAATAACCAGAAAGTCCAAAATTTGGATTATTGCACTGTGTCTCTGTTTGATTTTCATAAGAAGCATCAGGATAAGAATTTGGAACTTCGCTTTGATAGCAAGGTGTCACAGAATGATACGATGGACCAAAATTGGTAACTTTGTTTTCAGACAAAGTAGAAACTGGTATATTGTAAGACGGTGGTGGCTGTCTAAAGTTTGGAGGTGGAAAACTTGGAGGTGGTACAGAATAATATCCCATGTTTTGTGGTTGAGAAACACCTGAACCCCAAAAATAGGATTGGTCAGCATTTGAAGGGTTTGCCATTTCCTACAAAATATTTCACTTGAAATATATATTACGTTAAATAAAAAAAAAGAATAAACTTCTTCCTATTATTTACTACAATGAATACGAAGTAAAATGCATGATGCTTATGAAGTTTTGTATAAATTAATCTATACGTATTCTTACAATTTTCAATCTTCTGAAATGTAATAGAATTTTGATGCTAGATTTAATTGTAAAATTGAATGAATTTCTACCATTCTCTTTTAATATTCATTTAGAACAAAAATTCTAGTTCTATCAAAATACTATACATTGTTGGAAAAATACCACAGAATCAGACAGAATACGATATCCAACGACATCTGCTGATGATAAGTGAAATAACCTTTAAAGCACCATAGCGCCAGCTTCTGGTTTTATTGATAACTCAATTCAAATTATACTTAGAAATATTCGAATAATCACAAACGATCATAATTTATATGTATGAAGAATGTTTTCAATGTAACAATTAACATAAGGGTTATTTCTATTATTTCAATAACGTATGCAGATAATATTTAATGATACTGTAATACTAATTAAAGTTTATACTTTTCGATGATACTGCATTCGTAAAAGGACTTTATAATACTAAGATTTTATAATTGAAAATTTATCATTGCATGGTAGCAGTGCTATATTACGCACGTGATTATTATTGCACACGTTATTATTAGTTGATATTTGTATGCGATGTAGTATTGTCCCGCGCATATGTATACATAGAATTGATATTATTTATAATATCAGGTAGCCATGTTTCGTCTTGTATGTCTAACATCCAACATGGGCGTTTCTTTCGTCGTCTGCAAAGTGTCAAATACTTTGCACGGAACGAAAATGTTCAGAGACAGTGATAGATTTTAGCCTTTCTGAAACATCGGAAGATCATTTGTGTTATTCGTCATCACCAAATGCATTCGAGTGAAGACAGAACATACATCCGATCGAGAAAATTGCAATTTTGCTCGGTGATGGCTACAACTCAGTACCGAAGAGCATCTTCTCCAGGGATCTGACTTTGCTTGGATTAAAATCGAAGAAAACGAAGTACACGGTATTCCTAAATTTGTTAACTACAAGCTCGTCCGTCAAAATAATTTGTTCCTTATTTAAATCGATATTCAAGTCTTGACATAAAATGACAAGGTTATGCTTCGCTGTGAAACGAACATCACGATGTTAAAATATTTTAAAGTGTGTGGTTCTTCCAAGTGTACAAAGAATACGACGTACAGGAATTTTTAGCGCAGATATTTCGATGATATGAAATGTGTATAATATAAAAAAAAAGTGAATTGTCTTGTTCAGTATCCAAATCAGCTGATTCCTAGATTGACAGGAAACGTCGAGTGCGATCAACATTCGAAGAGTGACGTATTTAATTATTCTGTGAAGAATATCGATATATGAAAAACGTAAATATATACAGTACTTTTAAACGTACGATTTCTTCGTATTTTAAAAAGTGAACAATTAAAAGATGTCAGGAAACAGTTCCAGCACAGTAGGTACACCAAGAGGTGGCAACTTACAAAATCGTAATTCTCAGAGAAAGGCGCTTCTAAAAGTAGTGATTCTGGGTGATGGTGGTGTTGGCAAGTCTTGTCTTATGAACAGATTTGTGTCAAATCATTTTGACGAACATAGTTTTCATACTATTGGAGTGGAATTTTTAAATAAAGGCATCGAAATCAATGGAGAGGCATATACGCTGCAAATATGGGACACAGCTGGACAGGAAAGGTTCAAGACTCTTAGAACTCCATTTTATAGAGGCTCCGATATTTGTCTTTTGACTTATGCAGTTGACGATAGAACAAGCTTTAAAAATTTAGCACTTTGGAGATCTGAATTTCTTTATTATGCTGATGTTCAAGAGGGATCCACATTTCCCTTTATTGTTGTTGGAAACAAAGTAAGTTGAAAAAGTGGTGGGTAATCAAAAGACCAATATTCATGAAAACATATCATTATATTTATAAAAACAACTGTTGTAGGTGGATGTTCCAGAGCCTGAGAAGCAAGTATCTACAGAAGAAGCTCAAGCTTGGTGTGCAGAAAATGGAGATCCCCCATTGGTAGAAACATCTGCGAAAGATGCAACAAATGTTGAAGCAGCATTCGCTGCAGCTGTTGCTGCTTGGGCACAACTTGAAGCTAGATTAGAGCGTCCCTTTGTAGAAGATACTGTTGATCTTTCTAAGCAACAATCTCCTCATCGTTCGAGTTGTTGTATGCCAATGTCTGGTGCTGAGTAGGTTACACATGCAAGATTTTTAATATTTCTATGTTTTCATAACATAATGCATGAAACTTATTTCTCAAGATCCGCAATTACAGTAACGTAATGAAATGAGTGGTAAGGAGATAAACTGACATACATGGAATGGATCCATCAAATTTGTTTACACCTGAAAGAGTACACTATGTTGCAAATTGAACCGACTCTTACAAGCAATGAATATTGTATTTAGGACATATAAGGACATTATATTATATAAGTATAAGAATTTTATTCTTTTTTTCTTTGACCTACACTATATAGTTTTGTTTTTAACAATTCGTTTAATTCTTCAGACATTATTCGTAACCATTGGCAATTCGATTACAAAAAGTGTAAAGTTTTTACATACTTGAGAATTATATTAACTTTATAGAAAGATAGTAATGTTTAATATTACCATTGCAGTAATAATCTTGCATGTAACATGCTTTTTCTTCTAGGTCTAACAAAATAATTTGAAGAGATATCTTGCCTGTCTGCAATACATTCTTCACGATAAGGTGAATTTTAATGTTTCAACCAATTTTTTGTTAGTACATTAATATAGTTCCATCTCTCGTGTTTAGACTTTATTAGTAACTAATATGTTTTACGATGCCAATGAATCTAATGTCCATGTTACTTTTACGAATTCGATTCGTTTATTTTGAATAGTTAAAATTTTCTCCAGTGTTTTTGAAATATATAATTTAAAGTTACAAAATCGCGTAAAAAAAAGGTACTATTTTACGGTTGATCTTTCCAGAACGCAACAGTAAAGTGTAAGGTCAAATTGAACGTCCTACTCGTAACACGCTTTGTGCAACTTGTGAGCTACAGACAGTATTTTAAGTGTTTCATACACCATTGGCTTGTGATAAAAGAATAATAATCATCAATTGCTTTATAAATAAGAATTAGTATAAATTGTAATTTAGTTTTGTAATCTAAATTTGCCTTATCCTTGCAGCACAAACTAAGGGCAGTGGTGTAGTATATGTCTGATTTTACAATATATATATTTATGTATATGATAAAGTGCAAAATACTCTGCTGCTCTTGGAATGATCTGCAGTAGGTGTTTAAAGAATTTCCTACAAAATTAATAATGTTATAGATATAACAAATAAAGCTTTTTGTACAATCCTATATGTATGTTATGCATTTCTAAAGTTATGTAACTTACTTAAAAGCTACTTAACGCTTTAGTAATGCTTTACATATTAAGTATAAAGAGTATGTAACAGAATTGTAATTTAAATATCCTTTCCAATAACGAGGCTTGCATTAATTATACATGTGACATGCATGCTGGTGCTTTTTGTATAGCTACATGTGGGATATATAAATTTCTAGCATCATATTGAATAATGTGTTGGTTCAAACGCGAACTGCATAAAAAATTTAATCATATCAAGGTGAAACGCGTCACCGAGTGCAACACGTAGGTTCAGTCTGCATTAACTCAGTATGTTTTATATTGTTAATCCTATATGACTTTCATTAATAATTTTATAAAAATTACTTTTGTACAGTATACATTGCATTTGTTATAGTATATTTTATGTAATATTATTTTGATGTTTATCAAAATCGCAGCCACGATTTTCATAGTATGTCTTAAATATTAATGTGTATCTACACTTTATGAATTTTATAACGCTGGAAATCGTCTTTACAAAAAAAATAAAGGTATTCTGTGCTTGTTTAAAAATGATAAAATATATTAGTAAAATGTCTTTGATACCTCACTTTGATTTTTAATTACACAAGTGAATTTGTATTTATATTGTCTTATATTTTACAAATAATAATAGTTTCTAGATTACTTTTTAATAATACAATTGTTAATATTATTATATTGTAACAGTACATCGTAACGTATGCAATATGCAAAGCAGTACTGCACACTTTTGTTCAAACATTAGTCAATCGAACAATAAACGGGTGTAAAGTATGTTACAATACAAAATTATGAGTAAACGTGTAAAAGTTTGGAGAAAAGTGTGCGCGCATCTCACTTTTCTTATTTAAATTTCTTAACAATATTTACATAGTAAATGTGCTATAGTCGTTCATGTCAAAGATCTATCTTCCAATATTTTTGTATACAAATTTGCCTTTTGTATATATTTGTTATCGAATAATAATTAAATCGTACAATCTTTTTAGCAAACAACTGAAAATAACATTCTGTATGCATAAAATAACTATGCATAAGAATAAACTAAAATATTTTTCATCGTATATTTTTTTAGATATCGTGAATTTGGCAAAATTATGTTTCCTGCACATGTTTACTGCATATAATTAATTATTTCAGAGCTTCTCTGATCAGTATGAACTTCGCGGCAGTGTACACGTATGTACATTTTTTATTATGATAATAGAATGTAATCTAAACATGTAAACAGCTAATGACAATGTTCTGTGACATCTACGATAACAGATTTTTTCCATCCAAATAAGAAGTAACCGATCGCTGCACCGAACACTACGGCAAATCCCAACCAAACATTGTACGTCATGAAGATCAGCATGAGGAAATATGACAGCACGATTTGCACAATGTGTAAGAACGTTTGAAATGTATGCATCCATGATAACATTGTGGGCCTGCACAAATTTATACAGAACAGATTAATGCCTGATAAGATTTTGAACAACTGAAAAAATACAACATGTGCAATAATATTAAATTATCATGCAGTGTAATTGTACGTGTATACATATAAGAAAGGAAAAGCTGCAAAGAAATATTAAGCTTGTAAATCACGAGTCTAGAAGAAAAGGATGAAACTGATACCTAGAGTTAAAAGAAAGTAATGTATGCATACATGAAAATAAATATATGAAAATTACGAGGAGCGAATGAAGTGTTTTCATTAATTAAGGATTGATGCTGGTAGAAGAATAAAAAAGAAGAATAAGAAAAAGAAGTAGAAGTTTAAAACGTGCACTTCCAAGAAGTAGCTATACTAAAAAAAAAAAGAGAGAAAATTAAAAATCAATGCATTCGTTTCTCCATTACTTACGGCTGTTTGTGAATTACTTCTCCAACCATACTAAAAACACAAAGTCAAATATGACAATGAATAACAAAGCTCGTCATGTTGTGAAGTGAGATTTCGAAACTAAGGTCGGATGTACGTGTAAAAAAGTAATACTTACTGTACGACTCGATTGTCTTCAGCCACAACGTTCTTTTCTGGAGGTATCGTGACGCTTCGGTACTGAAGAGCGTTATACGTTTTCCAAAATAAGTATTCTCGATAATATTTTAAACCCTCGTAAAGCGCGGCCATGATCATGATACCAATCATCGACCCAATGAGACCACCGATCGAAGAAATTTTCCAGGACTCGAACAGTACACTTTCACAATATCCTCCATGGAATGTCATCTGTAAATAGGTTCATTGTTTAATAATGTTGCAACGTGTTTTCATCTGTGAACGATACGTACCGACATACCGTGCATCCCCATATCGGCACATGGATCCGAAGTGGAAGCTCCAGTATGACCTGTATGGTCCATACCATCATGATCCATACTGCCATGATCCATAGAGCCCATACCATGGTCCTCCATGCTTGAATGAGACATGACAGCATCATGAGCCGTATGGCTACCCGATATATTCATCATGTGCGCCATGTGATCATGCGACATCTAAAAAGAAAGAAGATTCAGTCGTAATATATTTATAGGTTCTGAAGACAGTTTTGAAACGAACTCTCAAAAGAATCGAAGGAACTACAAAGAAGATCGGGAAATTTGACGATGGACAAGCATCATTTTTTCTAGCGTTAATTTGCGAAGGCAGCAATGTTCGAAGGCCTAACTAATACCAAACAGTTATCGAGGCCAGAAGCCAAACGGCCATTCAAATTCTATCGACCATCGTTTATATATGACACTATTGGTAATATCCATTCATACAACCGCTTACCGAGTGTACATTGGCACGATAATAACTTTGACAAAGGAAGGGGTGGGAAGTGTATGAAAGCGGATACCAACTATGACGAAAGTAGCATGCAAAATTTCTAATGACGAACGTTTCTTTGGGAATCCATAAATGACATCGATAGCGAACTGGATTCTATGTACAACGGACACCTGTTGCTCGAATAATACTTGCCACGCTTACAAAAAGTGTTTAATGCATATATGCACGATCCAATCGATAGCCGGTACCACGTGTCTCGTTAAATCCGATATTCACGAGAATCAAAACATTATTTAACAGTAACAAAAGATCGTAATCTTAACCGGATACGTTTGATTCTGTAAATCTAATCGATTTCGTCGCGAATTACTAAAATTAGATAGCCGCAAGGTGACCGTTATGTAATTGAAATTCATTTACAAAAAGTTTGTCGATATCTTTGAAAAACCATTACCACGTCCGGTTTCGGTATGATGCGTTAAACCCTGGCCACGTTCGACGATACTTTTTTTATTCTTAATTAACAGATTGATTTTTGTTAAGTCATGCGTTCCCCTTCGGCAGTCTGCCAAGGTAGCCGTGAACGAGTTTGGAACAGAAGTACAAGAAGAAACGAGTTCATGACTCGTGCTCGAGCGGCTCGAGAGAAGAACAAAGACATCGTGTAAAAAAATCGCGAGTTGGCGTACTTTCTAAAACAGATTTCTTTGAAGATAGGTACAGTGGTCCGACGTACCGCGACCAAACATTCCTTTCTAGAGTCTTGCACGCTATGGTCACGGAATTCACAGTGGCGATAAAATTCTTTTACTCTTTTGCGCCAACACCGCAGACAGAGCACGGTAATGTGAGACTTCTTAAGTTCTCAGAGTTCGTATAATTAAATTAATTAATAATTTAAAGAAAATAAAGATATAAAAATGATTAATATGGAGAATAATTATAATATTATTTATTAGTTGTGATTATTATATAGGCATAAGAGAAGTAAGAGAAGAGAATAGAACGATAAGAATTGAATATGTAAAACAGAAAAAGTATGTAAATTATTTTATAAAGAACAGTGACCAAGTTTCACCGTGTGTAAGTGTAATGGTAGAGCAAATATTGTAGAAAAAAGTAAGAATGACCTGGTTAGTCTGAACACTATTAAAAATTTAACCAAGCCTACCAGCATAAATGCAACAAAAAATCGCGACGACTCTCTGATTAGAAATGTATGAGCGACATGATCTGACAAGTGGTTTTAGTCTATCTCTATCCACTAAATAAGTAGCTGTGCAAGCGATGACAAGAAGCGTTTAAACCGATAAAATAATGAGTTGATAAGAGCCAAACGGCTGAAATGCGACGCCTTGAGAAAATTATACCGCTCGTTGAAACGAAACATGATATGCTTCGCGTGGAAAGCGGTAGTTCGCAAAAGGGTAACATAGTTCGTTACATTGACGTTATTCAGCTATTAACTACGTATATTGGCGAATCAGGTATTTTATTTAAACGGTTGGTGAAAGTAACAGTTTTCAAGTTAGTTTTTATTTCGCGAGCGTTTAATTTAACTACTATTTAGAAATGCAATAAATATTTATAACGATAATATTTCTTTTTGATAAAACCTTTCAGAAAAAGAAACGATATCTCGTAATGATTAGCTTCAGGTCTCGTTTAGTTTAGATCATTAAAAACGATATATTTGGTAACACAAACGTATCTTCTTTTTCTTTCAATATTTACGTATCGGCGAGATAAAAATGGTTAATAATACAAAATAAACGAAAAAAGTAGACAAAGTATTGATTTCCTAATATAATTTTTCTTTTTATCAGTTTCACTGCGATTTTCGCTGTCTTATCAACCTATTAAAGTTAATCTTAATGATAGTTAATCTTAATGTTGTTGAACGATAGTTATACCGAATATAATGAAATGTTTACAAACAATTATATACGCTTGAAATATGTATCAAAGTAACAAGCTCAATATGTCACATTTTGGCGATAAACGTTTCAAAATGTAGTAAAAATACATCAATCCGCGTGTAAATATGTACTTGCCAGTGACACTTAGCCATGCATCGATGATTTGTGACTTATACTTCGACAGCCTTGAATACACTGAACAAATACTGTGTTGTCAGTACTTCAATTGATAACTAGGGAAAAAAGCAATAAATTTGACGCGATAAAAAGTAAATCGATCAAATTGAACGTGAATAAATTAAAAAATAAAAAAACAAGAAAACAAATCGCTTTCGAAATGATGCTACCGAGTTCAAACCGTGTGCAGGAAAAAACAATAAAGCTAGATTAGTCAAGTGATAAGGTGAAAATAACAGGATCCCCGTGATAAGGCACCGCACCGTTATAAAATACGGTTAAAAATGTCGTCGTATCATATCGCATGCGATTAATTTAAAAGTAGGGATGAGTCACGTTAAAAAAACAAAAAAAAACCTGTTATTAGATCGTAATGCAGGTAGTTCACGATTGATGAACCAATTCATCTAACAATTAGGATCGGAAATATCGAACGAAATATTTAGAAATGAGAACTGTTTGAATCGCAACAAGGTTACAAATAAATTGTTACGCGTTTTATCGAAGTATTTCGATTAAAGAAACAGTAGCCGGCGGAGAATATAAGAAAAATGATCGGAGAAGTTGTATGGCAATGTATAGTCGACAATTCTTTGCTTCGCAGGAATCTTGATATTGAAATACCAAGATTCCACGTGAGGAAGTATGCATTATAATTTTCCTGGAAAGGACGTCCCGATTATTGATTAATTCCGGTATAGTGAAGGAATGCATCGACTCGTTGAATGCAAAGAACAAAAGAGATTTCCAATTACATTATCAACCCCTCACTCGTGTTGATTATAGGAATATATCTTGTTGCTTCGAACATCCTGTACGTCGTTGATTTAATGCATCGAAATTATGGTATCGTTACGTAATGTAAAACTAAGTGACCAGGAGGCGGGCAATATTGGTTTCAATTGAATCGATAACAGCTAATCTCGATTAATTAGCGTATGATACTTTGACGTCGAAATTTTCATATGAAAATCACGATTCAATCGGTGAACATCGAAGCGTAAATCACAGTTCGTTTTCTTTCAAGAAAACGTTTACAATTCCATTATAATTTAGATGAAACCGTACTTCGCACAAAATTATTTGAGTACATTCTCATGGACAGAGTTTCACGATACATTCACTTGCTATCGGTATGAACTATCTCTGTACCAATGTACCATATGTCATTTATATATATTTTCAAGAGAAAGAAATTTAAAAATTATTACTTTCAAAGAACAAGATGATGAGTAACTTATTATACATTACGAAAATGAATCAACGTGTTACTGACAATTTACGACGATGACATTAAATCCACGTTAAGTTATGTGAAAGTTTTGTTACATAGAACTTTCTTGCTGCATTCTACATAGTAACGTGAATGTAGCTGTTTAAGTAGGTCGACTGTTTGCTTCGTGTTTTATACACAAAACGAGATTAAAATTAATAAAAGTATATGAGAATGACAAGTTAAGACGTGAACTTTAAGAGCATTATGTCGTTATAATGATGATTGCATGTTTGATTATTCCGATTTGTCGCTTGAAGAATAATCGTATCTGTTACCTTCGTTGAAAATTAAGGGTTATGTCACACACGAAACACGCGTTAATTCGCGAAAATGCTTGAATGCGAAATTGATAAGTAACACGGACACTGTCACAGTTTCTGTTGCGGGGACAGCCAAACAACCTCTCAGAGATCCATTAAAAAACTGCACGCAACATTCTCGGTCTCGGTTTCCTCCATCGCCGTGGATGTAAAATACCGAAGACTCGACTGAATGATTTTCTATGGGTAACACGTCACATGAAAGTAATAGCATGTTTTAACGACAGATGGCATGATATACTGCGCAATTGTTCAAATGCTGCGGAATCGTTATACAACATTTCAACGGAAACTACTTACGTAACTATGGTATAATTAATAAAATCATACGAAAGTTGGAAACACGTTTAAAGTTTCGCATGAGATTTTTTTAAATGTACAGAATTCGTTCTTTTGTCTAGCAGAAATACCAGCGTCGTATAACAATCTTTCTTTTTCCTTATACAATTCCTGTTTGGTAATTATCGCTTCTTTTCGAGCAATTCCGTATGAATATCCATTAGTTGAATAACTTTAATTAAATCATTTCTTGCATTATTAATTACGTATACAAAACTATCTATCGTAGATCGTAGACGCGAACGCATGTGTCTATGCTACATAATAATTTTCTAATAATTACTTCTCGCCATATTCAATTTTAATTTTATTACCTAGCACAGGTACATACGAATATCGTAGTTATGATTTTATTTATTCTATTAACTATAAAAATGAGTCTATGTACTATTGTAGTGTACGTGCTTTCTATAACGAGGCAAATTCAATTCTGGCACATTTATCAGATTCAGTTTAATCCAAATTTCAGTAACTTTCGGGATATTTAGTTTTAATTCTAGCCGTTCATAGACTTGAGATCTTGTTCTATTCTGAATCGATAACGTTGCTAAGAGGTCTCTGGCTGGAGTTTTGAGACAGCAAATTCCATCGAAAGTCCAGTCTATTTTATACGCGTTGTTTGTGCGTACTTTCCGCGCATGCTCGATGGTTGTGTATTTTTCATATTTTGACAGGTATTGTAACAGTTCTTCTTGTTTTTGTTAAATATCGCATATATTTCGTCATGCCTGTTATGCCATTATGGCCGAATTTGCAACCCAGAGCGACAGATCCTCTTTGGTTTAATGCGGACAGGCCATGCGACGACGAGAGCGAGGTAGCTGCTCTTGAAGCGGAACATCAAGCATGGGTTAGAATCACGAACATAATTACAACCATTAAACTATTAAACGTATATAACTAATTCTATTTTTATGTGTTTTTTTTAGAGAGAACATGTTCGAGTGCAAGGGTACGATCATATTCCGATTGGCAAAACTGTTAGTGAAGTAAGTTAACCTCACTTTTATTTTCCTTGCGTATTTTATATTCTGCTTATCTATTTGATAAGTTTTGAAGCTAGATTCGTGTACTTCGTCGTATACATTATAGAAGCATGTCAGTTGAGGTAAAATTACCTTTTTTTATTTTTTAAAAATATTGAATCTTTTACCAGATGTGGTAGTTGTTAGGTACGTGTAACATTACCGACCGTCGGGACAGTCAACAAACGAACGAATAAAAAATATTCTCCATACAAATGTGATAAACTAGTTTCTTATATTATTGTATTGTGATTCTTTCAAATAGAATAAGCATTATATATAATTTTAAATATACTTAGTTTAGGGGATCAATAGAAGAGGAGGAAGAGGAAGAAGAGGAAGAAGGCGAAGGAGAAGAGGAAGAGGAATCAGACACCCATGAAGAGGAGGAAGAAGAATTGGATGAAATCGATATGGAAGTGAGCTATTCACACCAACAACAGAGATCAAGTCCAACGGACACTGTGACCGATCCAGTGTCCATCAGAATGGTCAGCACACATGCTGGTCGCTACACTTAGTCCATACTTTGCGAATCTTGTTCCTCTTTGACATTTTGTACACTTTATTTCTTATATTTTAAATATTATATATTGTACGTTCAGATATTAAGGATTGATAATAGAGTTTATCAGAGATTAATAATTTATTTGTATATAGAAAATAATAAAGTCTCGTAGTAAGTTTAACGCATGAAATGTTACGGTTATAGGAATTTTAAACACTGCTACATTATGAAAACACGATGAATTCAGCTGCTCAAGCATTCCCATCGCTAGTACAAGCGTCATTATTATGAATAGTCAGCGTTTTCGATTCACCGTGTGTTCGGTCAAGGACCCCGCCAACATTCGATCCAACGAGGCGAGCCGGACAACGGAAATTCTGCGTCACCGAAAAATTACGCGAAACAAGAAACGTGGACGCTGAAAATTTGTGTAACGGCGTCAACGGAAAACATGGCAACGAGTGAAAAAGAAGAGTACTCTGGGGGATTTATTTCTAGTGAATGAATCAACCATTTTTTAAAAATATCTAGTACATGTTTATAGAATGCTTTAACAATGTTTTATAAGTATCGATCTAGTATGTCTAGTAAAGAACTTCCCGCACCCCGAGATAAGCTGTTGGATAGGTAAACATTTATGTTCTAAACAATCTGTTAACCACGTGTGACTCTGAAATCACCTATCTATTATTTACTTTACACATAATTGAACATAATTTGAATTGTGCAGATCGAAAATTCGAAGATCGTACAGTTTTGAAAATATCTAGCGGTCCAGTTTGAGAAACATGGTCTCGTTTCTACTCGTCTGTCGATGGGACACGTTCCGCGAAAACTACCAGCTACGTCAATTCTTGGTCTATTTGAATGAAATTTTCTGAGTATACCATTGAAATCCAAGTTTTTCAGATAATGTAAAAAGAAGCTCGATTCTTTTAAAAGCTGTTACCACGGCGGTCTCTATGATGTACGAACGCTTGGCATAAATCAGATGCCGCGAAGTGGAGTTTTCAACGTACTTTGGTGCAGGAAATTTCGTTTGGCGTCGCGTGGATATCGTAAGGTCGGTATCGAAGTATAAAATTTCCTTCAAAGACCGATCCATGGCTCGTCGAAAGCGATCGAATACACAAGGGCTTGGCCCCTGTCCCTTTCTCTCCCAGTGTCTCGATCTTTCTCTTTGGAGAACGGGGCAAGTCGGTACCCCGCCTCGCTCGTAAAGGGCCATGGAACCGCATCATGCTCGACCGGGACACTCTCTGTACACTCCGTATACCCACCTATACTAGGTGTAAGTACACGCGAGAATGTATTATATACCTATATACAGCGCCGGCTCTCTCGGCGTGTAACTGAAGTAAAGCCAGGTTGGTGCCCCCGCTAGGGTGAACGAACGGGTACGCTCAGGCAAAAGCGAACCCGTGCGCCTCCTCCACCTCCTCCTTCTCTTTCTCCGCCACCTCCTCCTCTATGCAACGACCTCCGTCTCCTCCTCGGCTGAGAGATCCTCGCCACTGATGTCACAGCGGAATTGCAAATTTTTTTCCCCGAATACTGTCGTCCGTTAGGGAGAGCAAAACGCGACCAACGACACACCGGTGTGTTGTGGTGAAATTTTTATCGAACCCGTCCAACGACAGCTACCAAGTCATTTTCGCGATTTTTCCTCGGACACGGTCCGCGAACCTCGAACGTTGCGCGGGTCGAACATAGGGATGAGCATAGTATCGATGCTTGTTAGAGACGAGTTGCCAAAATCGCGTAACAATTAAGCCATTTTATTTTGTATTTGTTACGTAATAGTAATTTGTACGCGAATTAATGTTGCAACTTGTAGCTTGAACATAGAGGCCAACGTACACTGGAGAATCATAGATAATGTAAATATGGTTGATATTATAAGCTTCACTCTTGGGACAATAACAAATTTTCTGTTCTTTTTTCGTCTTCCATAACTTTCGTGAACTCCCAATATACATTTTAAACAGCGGATCATGTTTTCCGCATGTGTCACATAATGTATGCGATAAGCTGGATTTGTGGTAGCGAACATGTTCAGCTCGAGTTCATAAATTTTACTGGATTTAAGCTTTATAATAATTGTATTCTGTGCACAAAGTGTATGTGAAATATTCGAAAATTAACTCAGTTTCATAAACATACACGAGTGTAAAATAAAACACGAAGTTTAAATATTCTAAAGTTGTAAAGTTTGAATTCTTATTTAAAGGTTTACTTCATTGTATCCTAAGTCAATTGACTCTTCTCGTTGCTTGATCTTTAAGGTGTATCGATGTTAGGCTTGTGAATATTTTGAGGTGTCTCGTTCACTCGTAGTCGAAAGCGAGTAGCAAAGATATTTGCAATTTTATTCGAGCAATTGAATCGCTTCAAGGTTAATTTAACTCGCGCGCACCGCCAGCGAGCGTTTCCATCTCCCTTGAGCGCTTAGCGTGTTGCGAAGCATAAATCTCGGGATTTATGAATCGCGTAGTTTCGTAGATGGTAATACCCTACGGTTTTATGAATTAATACCGGTCATATTAGACGCATAAATCTCAGCGTTCAGGTGGATGGAATCGTCTATGAGGATTATCCTGCCGCTACGCGATTCTACCGCGGCAGCTCGTTAGATCGCTGCGATCAATCTTTCAAGCCCTACGAAAAGGGGAAGAAACGTTCCTTCGTGGCCAAACGTCGCACAAAGTTTTTGCACGAAAATGCAAATTTCGAAAGGACAGTGTCACTCCTTTATTTTAATCATTCGATAGAAAATCCTTGTTTAGTATCTGTGTTGGTCCTCAGGAAAATTCTTGGCTTTGTGTACAAAAAGGATATCGATTTAAGAAACAACATTTTATTACAACAAAATGTACTTATTTCATTTTAAATCTTATCCTAAGTCTACTCATATGGAAACACCATTCCATGGAATAGAGTTTAGAAAACATTGTGTTAGAGAATCATCGGCAAACCCGTACCAAGGTTTATCAGAACTGTTTTGTTTCGACCAGTGGCACGTGTCCCTGAAGGTTGGCCTCACTTTTATTCCAACGTTGCTTAGCAGAAGGGAAAGCCACGGGACACAGTGGCCAGACATCGAACGTTACTCGAGTCTTCGATGCGCCATTCGGTGTTTCGGTTCAATCTTTGCGTCGTAAATTCGTAGCAACGTGTTCGAAACGATAACGATCAATGCAGCGGGAATCTAATCTTGATGTCTGCGTTCATTTCGCTTATCGATAGCGGACGGTCGAAATGTACGCGCCCGCCGGGGCCTTATCGGATTTCAATTGCTCGACCAAGTTCAGGCCTCTGTGTCCACGAGCGCGACGCGCGCGAACAATTTCGACACGCGTGATCTACTTTGCGTCCTCGCTAATGTCGACTTGACCTACTGGCCTACATGTAGGTAGTTTAAGCATCCATCCATCCGACCTTGGAGCGATATCAGCCGCGTCCACCCTTTCTCGAGATTTCGCAAAGCGTCGACTCGATGGAACGGCTGTGCCCCATCATCGTCCAGTTCAGGTGGGCCAAAATTTGAAATTAAGGTTCACGATGATAAAGATTCTTAAGTGACAGAGACACACGAGGAGTCGAATCAGTTACGTAAGATAGATTTGTTTCAGGTGGACTCCTCCCATTTCGAAGCTTCGCATGCCGTATTTTAACGGACTTTCCAGCTTTAAGAAAGGTAAATCTCATTCTATATAATAACTAGTAACATTTCTTCGACTTTCGAGTGTTAAAAATAATATCATATTAACTTTCCAGTTTGATTCCCTACAGGCCAGGTCGCCGAAGAGGATCAGAATTATGCCCACCCAAGAAATTTCAATTTGATGTCTGGCTGCCAAAAAGTAACGATCTTCTCCAAAGAATACGTCGATCCCGGATTCCTTTTTCAGATTTTCTGCAGTTGCGCGGCCGTCGAGTCTATCGATGCGATTTTTACGCTCATGGAACGCAATAAAACGTTGCAAACAGTAAACGTCGCGAACGGTTAACGCTCAATTAGCGATTTACTGCCACTGTGGAGGTTGGTCCGCGCGTCAACCGTCGTCTTCAGCGGAACGCTAAGGCGCACACCGCCGCGGGGGAGCAGACCTCGACGGTCTAATGTCGAGTTAAGCACCCCGACCTACCTCAAAAGACGTTGCACCGACGTAACAGATAATAAATCCCGTGCACTGAGAGCTAGCAAGCGGAAAGAAAATGAGAGTGTCGGGAGCGAAGATTGGACTGACGGTGGCTTTTCTCTTGGCGAGCCGCTCGGGTCCCGTAGGATGTGTTGTTCCCTCCGCGGAGAGGACGATGAAAAAAGCCTGGAATGAATGCGGAATGCGTGAAGTAAGTGTGGAATTTAGATGGAAAGAATTTGGAAAAAGAAAATCCATGGCAATAATACGCAGTAACCCATTTGCATCGCCAAGTTGAACGTGCCACGAGCGTTCATCATCGATAAGTCATCGTCGACCATCGCAGTCGGTTTGTATCGGAGTCGTCAACCCTTAACGGTTGAGATTTTTAGATTCGGGTACGTTATACTCTATACAATTCTTATACAAGTATTGTACTATTTGTACTACGTAAAAACATGACATACATTGTATGTTACAATTTGCCCTCAGGGGCTGTAGCGGTGTTTGTAGCTACAGTACGGGCTTAGCAACCACGAGATACCCGAGCTAGAGGGGCCCAATAGATGAAAAGTAAGAGATACTGCAAACAGTATTAAAATAATGCAGGAATCACGTAAGACGATGATAAGAAGAATGGAAATAAGCTAGTAATAAGTAAGCAGTAGTGCAATAACTTTCTATAATAAGTTACGCACTTTAAATAAACGAATGAATGTATGTTACAATACAAGTCAGTACCATACTTAGAAAACGAGCCTCGAATCCGGAAAAGAAGGCCAGACAGGGGGAACGCACTGACGCAGTCATATTTTCGCTAAAATTCATAACACGGCTATATATGTACGCAATTCTTCCTATTACCCAACGAATGTTTATGTTTGAAAGTATTTTTAAAAATATATTCGTCACCGCTCGAGGCTTTATCGTAACTAGAGGAGTCGCGCGCGAGCGAGAGGCGACGAACAAGTGTGCTCGCGCGACAAAGATGGCTCGAGGAGCTCGCGAGACAGAGAGAAGATCAGTCGAGTGATGCGCGCGCAAAGGAGAGGAAGAAAGACGGAACGAGCCGAGCGCGAGCAGGAAGAACGGCACGAGCGAGAGCTAGGGACTTCGGGAGTGCTCGGTCGCTCAGTCGAACGCGCGATTACAAGCACATGAGACGCGTGGGCTCTCTCGACGGCCAGCCTGGAAAGTGTTTCCATTCGTACGCGAGACCACGTGCCGGCGAACACCGCCGGAACGCGACTCACTCGAGTGACATAGGAAAACGGACAGGACAGCACCGTGTGCGGACACCTCCCTCTTCGCGCTTCCGTGGCACTTGGTCAATCGAACCTAACCTCCCTCACCCCTGGATGCACCCGTGGAGAACGCGGTATCGCGGCCGCAGCTGAAAGAATATCGCGACGAGGACGGTGCGCAAGTTGCAGTGTGTGGGTGGTTTGTCAGTTGGTGACTTGAAGTGAACCGAAGATCAAAGGAGGAACGGATCGAGCCGACGATCGAGAAGAAGGAAGGAAGAAGCTTGCGCCGCACTGCTGGATCCAGATGTCACGGGCACATCCTCGATCGGTGAGTGACGATACGTTTACTTTTCTCGAGGGTGAACCAGCCACTTGAATCGCTCGAAATCGGGGTCACCGATTCGGTAAATCGTTCGTGCGAATATGAGCGAAATTTTTCTCGAATATCATCGACGCGAAACGGTTTATCGATGGACAATAAGAATTAACTGTCAATCTATTATGTTTCGAAATTAACACGTTTTGACCGCTACGATGGTCATTGTCGCTGACTCTTCGAACTTGGACCATGGTTTTACTTTTTGGAGTAATTTGAAATTCTTCTTTCAGTGAAGCTATGGAGTTGAATATTAAATAAGCGAAAAGAGAAATTTATACAAGCTATCGACACTGTTCTTCCGTGCAATTTGAGTTTTATTCTTCCTTTAAATCGCGTACATAGAAGAGTCAACGCTAGCGACGAATTATTCTCATTGAATCGGAGCTAAAGCCATATTTTCAATTCCTAGGTAAAACTTTAGCAGTCAACAACGTTAAGGGGTCTTGTATCAGATTTTCTACCGAATACGATATTCTTAAGACGGTTAGGGAGTGTTGATCGCGATGTCGATCGACGATTTGTTAGCGGTCCGACAGGATCGTCTATTTTTTCTCGAAGAATCGAGGGATGGGTTCCGCGAGGTTTCGAGCGAAAATGCTAGCAGTGTAATGGGAAGGCCGTTTTTTTCGAGCGAAATTGGTGAAATCGGGGCAGGAAGGAGGGATCATTGACCGTACAGATTAAGACGGCCTAGGACATCGTCGAAAGTTTCGGCCAGTCATGGAAAAAGTGTTCACCGAGAACGCCAAGCAGAACCGCGACCCAGTTCCTTTTCAGAATTTTTCCAACGTTTCGACGACAACGTGTGTCGATTTTGGAGCGTCACAGGGGTCATCGAAACGCATCGCGATTCGTTACGGTGCGCGTCAGTATTCTTGGTACCTTGTTTACGTTCCTAGCGAAACACGCCAGAACGAACAGAGCTACTCCTTGACTGGGAACTGAAATAGATTCGTAACATTTTACGTTTAACTTAAACCTCACCCGTGTCAATATTTAACTTTCCCCTGGGAATACCTCTCGAATCCCGAAGCTATTTATCGCGAGATTCGGATCCACGAGGATCCCATTCGCCCTAGGGAATTATTTATTGCCAACTCGTTACGAGTCGCGGGAAGTACCACGCTGGCGTTAACCCGCTCGAGCCGGATTTACACGAGTGTTGCAGGGAATCGAATTTACATTCGTTTGATGAACTATGAAACAGATGATTTTTTTCCACTAGTTTCGAGGCAATTTTTATCATTTCTTTTGCAGTCACATTAGTAAACGGTTGTAGCGTTGGTAGCTTTTTTTATTGTTTAAATATAGTTTATGATGGAAATATTTTAGAAACCAAGAAGAATGTCAGGAAAAGAAAGTCGATTCTTTTGCCTAGAGAAAAGAGTAGCACTGTAAAGTATTCTCCCTCTTAAGAACAGAATTTAT